ACTTTTAATATTGTCCTCCAACACCATAGCTCAAATGCATCAATTCTTCTACAGTTTTCCTTATTCACTGTCCAACTTTCATAAGCATATGAGGTTATTGAACACTCCTGGCTTACATAAGGCCTCAAACTGACATCTTTGTTCTTTAACACTTTAAAGAGGTCTTGTGGAACACATTTACCTAATTCAGTAAGTTGTTTGATTTCTTGACTGCTGCCTCCGTAAGTGTTGAAGGTTGATCCAAGCAAAATGAAGTTTTTGACAACTTTGATTTTTCTACATTTACATGGATGTTACTAATTGGTCCAGCAGTGATGAGTTTGGTTTTCTTTACATTGAGGTGCAACCCATACCGAAGGCTGTAGTCTTTGCTCTTCATCAGTAAGTATTTTATGTCCTCTTCGCTTTCAGAAAGCAATGTTTTATCATCTGCATATCACAAGATATGTTAATGAATCTGCCTCCTATCCTTGATGCCACATTTTTGTTCACATAATACAGCTTCTCAGAATATTTGCTCAGAATACAGATTAAATAAGTGTGGTGAAAGAATACAACTGTGGCATGCATCTTTCTGAATTTTAAACTATTTGGTGTTCCCTTGTTCTGTTCAAATAACTGTCTCTTGGTCTATGCACAGGTTTCTCATGAGCACAATTAAGTGTTCTGGAATACTCATTGTCCACAATTTGTCCATAGTTTTTATTTATTTATTTATTTAATGAAAAGTCTTTGCACAGTCAATAAAACACAGGTAAACATCTTTCTGATATTCTCTGCTTTCACCCAAGATCCTTCTGATCTCAGCAATAATATCCCTTATTCCACGTCCTCATCTAAATCCAGCTTGAATCTCGTGAATTTCTCTGTCAATATACGGTTGCAGCTGTTTTTGTATTATATTAAGTAAATTTTACTTATGTGACATTAATGATATTGTCTAAAGATTTCTGCTTTCTGCTGGGTCACCTTTGTTTGGAATGGGCACAAATATTAATCTCTTCCAGTCAGTTGGACAGGTAGTTATCTTCTAAATTTCTTGGTGTAGATGAGTGGGAGCCTCCAGTGTTGCTTCAGTTTGTTGAAAGATTTCTATTTGTGTTCCATCAATTCCTTGTGCTTTTTTCTTTGTCAATGCCTTCAATGCACCTTGGATTTCCTCCTTCAGTATAACTGGCTCTTGATTATTTACTATCTCTTGCAATGGTTGAATATCGGCAATTTCCTTTTGGTACAGTGACTCTGTGTATTCCTTCCAT